ACCATAGCTCCCCTTAACTGAAATAGATAATTAAGTATCGGATACATTAAAAAAATCATTGCCAAGGGATATTTGATATTAAACCAGGGAATCAGAAACTGGAATAATCTATTTGTGTCTCCTTAATAAGCTCATAATTATCCTTGAATAAGTGATTTTGTTATTCTGTGCTCTTTCCTTGTGCTTTCATAAAATGGCCAAGTTCAGCTGTATCATGAACTGATTTAGACAATGCTGAAAAAATTAACAAATTGGTATTTTTCAAAAGCTTTAAAATTTTATTAAAGTGTTTATCCTCAACAACAACAACAAAAAAATGAAACTTCTCACTGTATACGATTCACTCATCTGCATCCAAAGACCTTTGATTAGAGTAATTTCTCAAATATAAACAATTAGTAACAGGCCATTTGTTTACTAAATGTTACAGGAGAGACCCAGCTGTCTGTATCTCCTTCATTTGACTATTGTGAAGTTAGAATTTTCTCATGACATTTCATTATTTAAAAATGTTTAGCTAAATAATGAAGTCTTTTCAGATTGGATTAGATTAGATATTTTTTTCAGATTAGGTATTTTAAGGTTACTTTCCATCTGCCATCCAAGAAGAAACATGTTTCAGTCTAAGAAAATGATTAACATTTCTACATAAGGTGACTCCATTTCTCATATGCCCTAGAAATATATCTTATCACTTATTTTGACATGGAAGGAGGCTTTTTAAAATCAACTGCAGGGCAGTGCTAATTGAGAGAAGCCTTAAAAACTCTGACACCATTTATCCCTGCACAAAGATCCCATGCTCTGTACGTTCTCATCCTTGGCTTTCCAATATTGTCTTTATGAGGTTAAGAAGATGAATGCTCACTGCTTTTAATCCTTACTATGATTTATGAGCCTCTTGGTATCCCTTCCCCGGAGTAGCTACCACTCTGTGGTTGTTCTGGCTGTTGCCTCAGTTACACAGACATCTGCAAAGTAAACTATGGATTGTCGTCCCATAGACCAGAACGAAGCACTCTCTTCATCTCTCCTGCAGGATTTTTTTTTTTACTAGAACAAAGACCACGTACAGTTTTACTTGCTTACGTCCTGAAGAAATGTTAAGCGAACCTGAATGATAGCACAATGACCTGGATTATGACCTGTCACATAACATCAATGCAGCATGACATATAAACAGGATTACTTTAAAGCTAGGATAAAAACAAAAAAGAAAAAACAAAACCACTTTCCATTTATTTATCTTTCTTCTTTCTTTAAGAACACCATCTTTAGGTTCCCAGAAGAAAGATGACCTTTAAAATTAACTAAGAAATGTGCCATGCAATAAAGACACATATTAAGTGTCCTTTCAGTCTCTTGTGTGCAAGATTTTAAGAGCATCTTGTGGCCTATGGTTCTTTGAACGAAATACTGACAAAGAAATAAAAAAAAACTACATAAAGGAAAATTCATGGAAGATCGAAGTACCTCTTTTAGATTTTTTCTTCTACTGTTATCGCTTATAATAAACTTGTTTTAATAATCCTGGGAACCTGCAGCGATCGAGTAATTGGAACAATTCTTTCTTCTGTATAAGAAGTCTAGCAGAGTCTAAAAAGAAATAGTCAACTCCCTCTGCATTTTCCTTTCTTTTCTCTGCTTATTATTTTGTGCAGATGATGACTCATAATTCCCAATGACAAGTCCATTGTGAAATCCTAACAGGCATGTCTCAAATGACTATCCTTTGACAGTTACCTAAAATTAGAAATATCCCAGCATTCATCTTTTTTTTTTTTTCAAATGTGCTAATTGCAGCGCAAACAATAACCCATCAGGGGAAAACCTCACTAACATAATTTACAAAATGATTTGTAGTAATACCTTACAAACTACTTTTCTTTTTTTAAACAGATGGCTCTGCAATTCATTTTTTGAACCCTATTGTCAACTCAGCAGGATGTTGTGAGTACTAAAACCAGAAATGCTCAAATCCACCCCTGGCTGAGCAGATCTGTTGCTCCCTTTGTGTTTCCATCAGTTTCCTTTTCACCTCATCACTGCTGAGAGGCATGGTTCCCTGAGTGTCAGGACCTGATTTTCATACCAATGCCCTAAAGACTTTTTTTTTTTTTTAAAGACAGATCTTATATTTGTTTACCTCTGTGTCAGTCTCTGTATTCATTTCCAAAACCTTCCTTTTGTGACCACACTTTGCTTCCTTGGCCTCATGAAATGAAGTATTAAAGGAATCCTGAAGAATGTGATTTAGTTAAAACCTTAAACTAAATATATCTCTAAATAAACAAATGCCTTTTGCATAGTGATTACATACAAGTAACTGGCTAAGAAATTATAGGATCTAGACACAAATAAGATGAAACTGGTACTTCCTAAAGATTGGGCAAATATACATATATATATAATCTCCCAATATATTGCCAGGAATTATTTTCTTAAACACACACATACACACACCCATGCACATACACACACCCTGATCGGTTTATTTCTCCAGATTAAAAAATAAATAGCAACAACAAACATAGCTCCATATGTTCTAAAACATAAATCCCACAGCCCAGGTATGTTTTCAAATTTCATTCAAGGTTCTTCATCTACTGGACCCACTCTTCTAGATTTATCTACCAACTGTCCTCATACCTGATATTCACTGAATTTCCTAACTGTCCAAATGGCTTAAAATTCACCACACATGAATTATTACATACCTTCATGCCTTATATACATCTATCCCCTTTTCTTTACATATTTGTAGTCACTTATCTTTAAAGTCCAATTCAAATACATCATTTCTATAGTTTCCCTCCTCTTTCCACCATAACATACAGAAGAAATCCTATCCCAACTTCTCTGCAACCATATCATTTTTCATATTGGAACATAAAAGTATTCTATAAATAATCAAAGAGTGCTATCTGACTGTAGGAAAAAAAAGAATGATTTCTTTCATCTTGTTTTTCATTTTCAGATGATTTATAACAAGTTATTCTAATTACTTGTTAGGCAATCATGAATGTAAGTGACAAATAACAGGACAAACACTAAATTTTGTGAAATTTTGGAGGAGAAATTGATTGCTCTTTCTTTGAATGTTCAAAAAAGAATTTATGAAAGAAGATGATAGGATTTTTAAACCAGCCCCAAGGGCATTACTCTATTCAAAATTGAATTAATGAAAGACAAATATTTTAATACTAAGTTTGGCTTGAAACCTATACCTTCAATATTCTTGGATATCACTCTCTTCATCCACTCTCCTGGATATCATACCATAGAGATTGCTTTCAGGTCTATTTTCTTACTTGAAGTTTATGAAAACCCTTACATTAAAAGGATAACAATTTCAAGCAATTCTCTACAAATGTCTTCTGAATTCATTTGAATTATTTCCTCATTGAAAAAAGTGAACATTCTCACTACTTTAAGTTTATCCTTTCTCAAGTTACTATGTTTAAACTATTCTTATATAAAATGATCAAATTTCTGTATAGTCCTTTTAACTTTGATTATAGCACAGAAAGAACCAAAGGACATTTGAGAAGAGTGTGCTTCCTTTTTATTTGGATCTTTGGATGTTTTAATGCTTCATTAAGCTTTAAAGGAAAAGATGTAAAATCATGCATTAATAATTAGTATGGTGTAGTATTAATTTTTGATTACTCATACTTGTATCGTAGATAATATTTAGGTTGCTGAAATCATGGTTTTGTAAAAAGGACAAGTTGCTGGTTACAGGAATTAATTCTGAAGTATGAAGCTCTCTCATGTATTAATCTGAGTATAAGATCTGGAATGAAACCCCTAATCCAAAATTATCCGAGATCAGAAATTTTTTATTAAAAGTATCCAAATTTTCTACAAAAATGTGACGATTTTACAAGGTAAAAGTAAAATTTTTCCGTATGGAAATTCTGCATACTGATGATAACAAATTGAAAGATAAAATAGATGACAAAAGAATTAGTACTTGATATCAAATGTTTAATTTCATTTCAAACTTTTAATCGTGAAAAATTATATTTAAAATCTGTATAGATTTTACTCAAATCTGATACTTGAAATTAATTATGTTATAAAACTAGATTAAATTATAATATTTTTTGAGTAAATGTATCTCATCAAAGAAAAACTAAAAACAAAAAGAAATGGTTTAGTTTCTCATTTATTAAATACGAGTATGCAGAGAGTTGAATAAATATCACAGCAAGATCCATAAAGCCACTTTAGTTTAATTACATTTGCCTTATCTCTTTAACTTTTTCTTTCTGAGCTATTATATCAATGGTTAATCTTAATTGATCACTGATTGAGAACTGAGAATATGAAGCTTGTTTTGACTAGAGCCTAAGAACAGATGCTACAATTACCAAACAGGGAGTGTCAAGGCAGTGCTTTAATTATTGTCTCCAGAAGGTTAACTATAAGGGTCTAAATCTCAGAGTTCAGATTCCTGCCATCAGCGAAGGAAAAGCAGCCTACAACTACCTGCCCAAGAAACAACTGAGCTAGACCCTGCCGAATTAATATTAATAAGGCAAGAAAATTTGAGACAGTGTCTCTTTGTTTCCTGTGTCAGAGCTTCATCTGAAGTTTGTGTTTGAAATGAGACATATTCAGTTGAACAAAAGGAATATCCACTAATTATGAGGGAGCAGGCAATGTGTCATAAAAATATAAAAGGAGAAAATACATTTCTGTTCTTAAGGAGGCACATAGCCACTAGGTCTTCTCAAATCTGAATGTAAATTGAAACAGTGTGAGAAAAATTCAGTGAAGAAGCTTAAACAGAATTCTTGCTAAAAGAAATGATTACTTAAGTTTTATGGTCGCATCATGTTTATGCCAACTGCCTGTGAGTATATAAACATTTGAATATTTTTATTTCTCATAAAATATTTTTTTTAAATAAAGAAGTTTTTAAAAGAGTTTGAATTTTGAATTATTTAAAGAGGTTGAAAGATATGTGTTAATGATAGTTAAATGTCACCTACCTTTGACAAGGCTGGCATCCTTTAAAACTCCAACAATCTATTGAGTTCCAAATGGACTGTATTCCCAAATAGAGTCAAACAGAGCTGGAAAAACAAACATACATAAAGTTGTAATGTCAAAAAAAAATTATAATATATATTTATTTTAGAGTATTTCACATTTACTTAAAAGCTGCAAAGATGGGGCGCCTGGGTGGCTCAGTCATTAAGCATCTGCCTTCGGCTCAGGTCATGAGCCCAGGGTCCTGTGATCGAGTCCCATGTCGGGCTCCTGGCTCAGCAGGAAGTCTGCTTTTCCCTCTCCCTCTGCCTCTCCCCTGCTATGCTCTCTCTCTCTATCTCTCTGTCTCAAATGAATAAATAAAATCTTAAAAAAAAAAGCTGCAAAGATTTTCTGAGTTCTCATAAACCCCACATCCAATTTCTTCTGTTGTTAGCATTTATATTACAATGATTTGTCATAACTTTTGATATATTGTGATATATGGACTCAAATGATCGAATATTGATACATTCTGATTTCATGAGTTTTTCTCCCAATGTCCTTTTTCTGTTCTGGATATCATATTGATTTTAGCCTTTATGTCTCCTCAGCCTTCTCTGGAAAGTGATAGTCTCTCAGATTTTCCTTGTTTTTGATGACCTTGAGTGTTTTGAAGAGTAATGAACAGACATTTACAGGATGTCTCTCAATTGGAATTTGCCTGATTTTGTTTCTCATGACTAGACCAGGGGGATGGATGTCTAATTATTCTTATTAGACTGGGTTTTGGAGGAAGACCATATAGGTTGCGTCATTCTCATAACTTCACATTGAGGATGCATGATACCAGCTTGACTTCTGTTCTTCCTTTCCATAGTGTGCTTCTGGAAGCAAGTCAACAAACACAGACCACACTCAGGGGCAGGGAATTAAGTTCCACCTCCTTGAGGGGAAAATATCTGCAAGGCTTATTCGGAATTCTTCTGCAAGAAAGATTTTTCTGTTCTCCCAGTTGGTTTGCTTGTTTGTGTATTCAATCATTCATTAATTCATTAGAAATTTGTGTACATCAGTGTGAATTCATGGATATTTATTTTGTACTTTGTGTTATAATCCAATACTGCACCATTTATTTTGGTGCTCAAATTGTTCCAATGTGGGCCTTTGTGAACTCTTTCACTTGCTTTTGTGACCTTTTGACATACCATATAAATTTGTTGATTGAGCAGTTCCTTATATTCTCGCACTTGGAGCAAATTCATGCTAATCTTATATATTTCTTCCTCAGCCCTAGACTCAGCAATATTTCCAGGGATCCTAGTGCCTTGTACTGGTGAATGATTTAGAAACCAGTATCTAGACACTGAGTATGCTTGTTGCTATGGGACAGCCATCGTTTCTAAGCCTTTTCTGTGGGCTGAACTGGGAAATATATGTATTAATATTGGTATGTATACACATATATTCATAAAAGTTTCTCTTAAGGAAAACACTATATTATACTGATATCTCTGACTCTAATCACATAATATTTTTCAAATAAATAGTGTCTTAGGTTAACAGAGTATAGTATTGAAAATGCGTCTTGGGGTGCCTGGGTGGCTCAGTTGTTAAGCGTCTGCCTTCGGCTCAGGTCATGGTCCCGGGGTCCTGGGATCGAGCCCCACATTGGGCTCCCTGCTCCGCGGGAAGCCTGCTTCTCCCTCTCCCACTCCCCCTGCTTGCGTTCCCTCTCTCACTGTGTCTCTGTCAAATAAATAAAAAAATCTTTAAAAAAAAAAAAAAAGAAAAAAGAAAATGCGTCTTATGTTTCTGTTGGAAATGTTCCTATCTGGGTAATATACCAGGAATGACTCAAAAAAAGATGCTCACACAAGTTAGAATATACATGTCTGGTGTCTGATTCTAGGCTTTTTTTTTTTTTTAAGATTTTATTTATTTATTTGGGAGAGAGAGAGAGAGAGAACCTGAGAAAGGGGAAGGGCAGAGGGAGAAGCAGATGCTCCACTGAGCAGGGAGACCAATGTGGGACTCAATCTTGGGACTCCAGGATCGTGACCTGAGCCGAAGGCAGACACTTAAAAGACTGAGCCACCCAGGCACCCTGAAGAATTTTTAAGACACTCCATGAACACTTATTGTCACTTATTCTTACTGAAGTTCATCATACTTAAAAAAAAATAGCCTTTAACACCATGTGCACACAGCCATAGCTCTCTGATCTTTTAGTCAAGTGTCATACACTAAAACAATAAAAAGAGTATGTGGAAATGTATATTATTTAATAAGAACTAATATATTTTCTTCTGCTGGTACATCCTTTTACCATGCCCATGTTTCATATATTTTTTTAAATATTTATTTATTTAAATAATCTCTACACCCGAAGTGGGGCTCAAACTCATAAGACCAAGATCAAGAGTTGCATGCTCTCCCAACGGAGTCAGCCAGATGCTCCCAAAAAGCTCACTGTTTTTCATTTGTTTGTTTTTAAGTAGGCTATTTATAGATGGTCTGTGACTTAGGACAGTTCAACTTATGATTTTTTTACTTTATGATGGTGTGAAAGTGACACACATTCAGTGGAAACCGTATTTTGAATTCCGAATTTTGATATTTTCTTGGACTAGCAAGATGTGTAGGATCGTCTCATGATGCTGGGCCATGGCTGCAAATGCAAGTCCTGGTCAGGCATCCAGTCATGAGGGTGAACAGATGATACACTGGCCATCATTCTGCACCACACAGCCATTGTATTTTTCGCTTTCAGCACAGTATTCGGTAGTTACATGAGATATTCAACACTTTATTAAAAAATAGGCCTGGTGTTAGAGGATTTTGCCCAACTGTAGGCTAATGGAAGGTTCTGAGTGTGTTTAAGATAGGCTAGGCTAAGCTATGATGTTTTGTAGGTTAGGGTATTAAATGAATTTTTGACTTAAGATATTTTCAAAGTGTAATGGGTTCATTAAAATGTTGCCTAGGAAGATCTGTATGGGATTGTTATTTGGGCCCACCTAAGTAATCCAGGATAACCTCCCCATCTCAATATCCTTAACTTAATCACATCCACAAAGACCTTTTATTTCCATATAAGGTGAAATTTATAGGTTTCCTGAATTAGGACATGGCTATATTTTGTGAGGTTATTTTTCAGCCTACCACAGACCACCTTCCTATCTCCTTCCATAGAGGAGAAAACATTATTAGAATAAAACAATTTCCTCATGAGTCTATTTCACATAAGACAGTGTGTATAGCCCTGATAGTACTAGAAATATAATCAAACACAATGAAAGAATTTTAAAATATTCTTTAAGACAATATAGGACAGACATAATTTAATTATTTACTTCTTTATTTAGATTTTATTTATTTATTTATCAGGGAGAGTGAGAGAGCACGCGCACAAGCAGGGGGAATGGCAGGCATGGGGAGAAGCAGGCTCCCTCCTGAGCAAGGAGCCTGATGCACGACTCAATCCCAGGACCCTGGGATCATGACCTGAGCTGAAGGCAGATGGTTAACCGACTGAGCCACCCAGGCATCCCAGGACAGACATAATTTTAACTTGCTTAGAGATATAGATAGATATTATTTAATAATGTAACTCAAATTGATTCTTTCTCTTCCTTGTAGACTAGGACCATTGATAACCTACAACTATATTGTGCTTCAGTGACTAAAGTTACAGGACTGAAGTTTCAGAATTATGACTCTAACAATCTTTAGAAAAATCCTAATTAAGTAAACCTTTAGGCAAATTTTAAAGGGGACACCTTATAAATTCTAATGTACACAGCATTCATAAATTATTACTACTGGTACAAAATATCTTATGCCTAGTCAATTTTTAAGGAAACTTGACAGAAGAAAGGAACTGGCAATAAAGTAAGAGGATGATGAGTTGGGAAATTATCCAAGACAAAAAAAAGCATGAATGGCTTCAGTGAGGTTTAAATTCCCAGCCCTGTTAAGGGTATCCAGACCTCAGGCCATATGAACTAAAGGAACTAGGAATGAGACACTTGTATGCAATAGGTATTAAAAAGAGTTGCCCCATCTATGGAATGGGAATTAGAAAAACTTCTGCACATCAGTTCTGTGTAGCTGCATCAATACTAGTTGCTAACCAGGAATCACAGAGAGAGAGGTCATCATTGAGAAAGCAGATGGTAAGCATGGACTTCGTGTGTATATGAGGTCCAAACACATGTATGGAATGGGGACTCCAACCCAAATTATTATGGTACTGGTGAAACCATCAGAGTCTCAGCTGAGCAAACACAAAAATGTCTTTAAGGTATTCTTTCATAATCTAAGGCATGAGACTCCCGTAGTAGGGAAAAAATAGTAAAAGAAAGCAAAACACATGAATGAACACAAGCTGAAGCGATAAAATGGAAAATTTGTTTCTGAAGAACTGGAAATAATAGAACATTTTGGAAAAGATATATAATATATTTAAAGTTTTCAGAGTTAAAGGAATAAAGAAAAATTGTTTCTTTTATCAGATCATACACAAAAATAACTTTCAGGTGTGTAGGGAAATAAAAGCTTAAAAATATAAAAGAAAATATGGAACATATTTTTATGAAATAGGAATAAAAACTTTCTTTAAACAAAAGTGTTAAGAGCACAAAGCAAAATAAGGACAACTTTTAATTAAAATTAATGTATTCAAAATTGAACTTCACAAACAAAAGGAAGCTATGTTAGCGATTGTGGAAGGTATTTGCAATTTGAAACTAAGTTTAGAGTGTAGATAACATAAGAATTTCAGTAGTCAAAGAAATATTGAACTTATAAGGTTTGTATGATGTTAGATAAGGCAAGTAAAGTTTTCTTTATTATATCATCATCACGATTAAGAATAATATATCTAACTTAGTCAAGAGGAACAATCACAAAAACAGATCAGTATTACTAAGATCAGTTATGAATACATAAATATTTGAAAACACAGTAGGGCAGTACCATGCACTTTAAGAAAAAAGGAGAACCCTACAGTCAGGAGAAATGTACTTAGTAAACGCTCTTAGGTGACAAAGCAGTAAGACCACATACCCATTTTACTAGTAATGAGGAGATGTGTTCTTCT